GCCATAGTGAAAGCCAGGAGTCAGGAAGAGTTAAAAGATGGGGTTGTGGCAGAAAGAGAAGCATATCTAACTAATCTCTGAAGAAATTAGGTGGAAACAAATACGTAAATCCTACAAAAAATGGAAAACCTTGAGTAGCTGGAGAGAAACCCTTCAAGACAGAGTTCACAGAGAATGGACAGACTAGGAAATCATGCTGGTAAGAGTAGAAGAGCATAAGAATGCATGTGTGCTGAGAGGAACCCAGCCTGTTCTGCAGCAATTAAACATCTGACATTATTAATATTTAGACAAGCCCATACATTTGATAGGGAGAATGTTACGGCCTAGAGCATAGAGTCTTGTAATGGATGTAATAGTATAGTACTTTTATATTTCTATATGGCATTTCCCCCCCTTTCAATCCCTTGATTTTCCCATCCCTAATACACAAAAGAGAATCCTAGTCTTCTTCCAAGCACTGCTAATAAAATATCCTGAAATGCAGTTAATGTTAATATTAATATTGCTGCTGTACTGGGACAGGTTCTGTTGTAGAATCTGTTAGAGTATCTCATATGTGTCACCTTTGCTGTCTGTGAAATTCTAGCAGCATAGGTCCTAGAGAGTTTGTTGATAATAACTGTTAATTGGTTAGGTGTAATTTTTAATAAGGGAAATTTCTGCAGAAGTGAAAGGAGAAACTACAGCTTAATTATATGACTGGATCTATGTAATGGCGTGCCAATAACACTTGCTCCAGCCACATACTCTTGTCACTGTCCCTACACTGGCTTGTATGTTTGCCTAACCACTTGGTGAGGCAATTAAATTTGCTAACCCAGCAGAAAACTAATCTGGGGTGGGAAGGCAGGGGGAGGAAATAGGGGGAACATTACTATCCTTTTCAGTGGTAACAAGCTGTTAGATTGGCTCAAATGCATCATATAACCACACCATGATTTTTATGCTTGGCAAAGTATTTAGGTTCTTGTTCATCAGAGCAATTAAAAGTATGTCTCAATTGAGGTGTAAGAACAATTTCACTCATATTCAGTAGAGCATTTACCTTTACACCTAGGTTTTTTATTCTTTTCTATTTAGCTCTGTGTTTTGGTATCTGGCTGCCATTGTTCACGTACTTGAAATTGACCAGCACTGAATTGGAATTAACAGAGTTTGAAAACTTCATTCTGTGATTCTGTATATTTTCTTATTTGTAGTCAGTTTAGCTATATACTATCTTCTAATTCCTCAGAAGTCCATAATAAAAACTTATCCTTGTCATTCACACTTACAGCATGCCGGTTTTGTGGGGTTTGAGAAGTAAGGTGTTTCTGAGAAGGCTATGAGGCATATGGACTTTTCATTGGTCTACATTAGGTAATTTTACAAACTTATTTTGATATCCATGTTGCTAGATGGGCTTCATTCTTTTTCTGTGTGTTAAAAAACCATAACAATGCAAGTTAAACAAATATAAAACTTTCCAGAGGAATCACTTAATTTTATAAGTGAAACAGCTTTTAGCGTAAAAAGCCTGGATCTTCAAAATGATTAAGTAAGATTTTCCCTGTTTATTTTGCAGATGGGTTTTTGGAGGTAGAAAAATGTAATTATAGGAAAAGCAGTAAAATGTGAGCTGGTTGAGGCATAAAGTGCAGCACTTAGAATAAGACAATCACCTAAATTCCCTGATTGACAGATGGATGTCACATTAGATGAAAATGATAACAGATTTAGTGGACTGAAGACTAACTTCCTCTTGACAGTGCCCTGACCCTTAACCTACAACCTGACTCCTGTTAGCTTCACTAACACAGGGTAATTGTCACAGGTGCAGGATAAAAGAAACCCCTACAGCAGCTACCAGTGGTCAGAGGCTTATTTCTTTTGATGACCAGAAATGCACTGTTGAGATATAGTCAAGAAGTCCTGACCTCTGATGACCTTTTAGGGCATTAAAATTTACCCCTGGGAAAAGGAAACTATATAAAAGGAAAATGCTCTGTTCTGACTAATGCAAAGCAATATTTTAACAGTGTAATAATTAAGTTGACAAACAAAGCTGAATGATGTAAAGCAATTTATATTCATCAACACAAAAGCGAGTTTCT